TCTTTTGCGTTTTATATCTGAAGAGGGCTCAATCTTGTAGCCGAAACTTGTTATATTTTTACACATGTTTATACATTTACACATTTATATATGCCGTTCCGTGCGCATGTATCGTCGCATAATAATTTAATTAATTAAATGTTTTGTTTTTCTCTTTGTAATCTACTGACTCTTCTTTCGCCGTGTATTTGTTTGATTATTTACGTTTACATTTAAGAGTCTTTACATCGTTATTATGTAAAATTTCTTATTAGATTTTTGTATACATATATTGTCACGATATGACACTTTTTCAGACAAAGCATCTTATTTTTAATGAAAAACGAGTTTAATGCATTGGATTATATATAAAAAATTAGACATAAATTTTTGTTATATGAATTATTTTCAAAATTAATATCTACAATATATATGTGTTTTAAATATTTATTTAATGTTTATATATTATTAAAGTTATTTTTTTTGTGGAAAAAGATTTAACTCAAAATTTCTTGTTTGAATTTAATTGTTGTATTGTATAGTATTGTATATACACGCATATTATTATTGCAACAATACATTTGCGTCGGTACTTTAAATTAAGTATCATATATAATTAAATTATTTTAAGCAAACTTTTCTGAATCTGTTAATAATATGCAATTTAAATTCTAATAATAGTTAATAAGAAATATTATCTTCACTGATAAAATTATATAGTACAAATGCATAGAATTTTAAATTTGTAATAGATTTTGTGAATGGTTCTTAACCTATTTTAAATACCTGCGACAAAATTACGCTGGCAAATCTAACTTTGTACCGAGACAAAATAAAGTGTCTAATTATAAGATTTTCACGATAAAAAAAAACAAAGTGTTATCAATTCTCAGAGATTATCACGATTATCTCAAAATATCGCTCGTAAAATGTATGTTAATTCACGACTGCATCGCATGCTATTTGATCGCAAAATTGCTGTGTTGTTCGCATAGAATGTGATCGTAAAATTTTGTTCGCGAAACTATTAATAGAGTGTCACGTCCGTGGCGAACGCAACGAGATCTTTCGTGAAATCTCGATTTCACCTGCATAATCACCTGTCGTTAGTCTTCTCATCGATCATGCGACACTCGAACTTTATCATTGCATCACCTGGCATTTTCACTACCATGAGTCGCGTGTCTGTTCGAGGGAGCATATGGAATCGAATGTGTACTTCGAGTCACTTCCACTATATCGAATTTAATCACAACTTTGTCCATTAAAAGCAGGAAAGATATATCGAAGAACTTTTTCTGTTAATACATTTTCTTCGAAAATTTGGGGAATGTTTCGAAAATTTCACACTCAAAGATAATACCAGTCCTTGCTCATCGATGAGTCACTCTGCCTTCCTCGAAAATTTCTTAGCGTTCCAATATTATTCACAAACACGCCAATCAATGATTTATCTCTTAATTTGGTTAGTTACTCTTCGCCCTTCAGTAAATCATACATTTCTAGAATTTATATTGAATTGATTCGCGGATTAACGATTCTGTATTTTCGAATGTTTGAATCAAAGAGTTTAGTAAATCCGGTTTCCATTTACAAAAAGAAAAACCAAAGCACTTTTGTTTTTAAAGTAAATCCTTTATTTTTGGAAGAAAACTTTTGACTTGTTTCTTTATTGTTATATCGCGTAATCTATCTTAATCAGAAAAAATAGGAAAAGTTAATAATCCGAGGATTCTTGGAGTCTTAAGTAAGATTAGTTTTAATTCTTATAAAAACTCTTAGTTGATCGTCTTTTATACGACTTGGGTATCCCTACGAACTCATCCATTAATACATTTGTTTTTTCATGAACGAATCACTTTATCTTTCGAAAAAAAAAAAGGAAAGGGAGCTTGTTATCCCCGAAGGATTATGTTACGAAACTTCTTTGATCAGAGAGTTCAGATAAATCACAGGTTTTTCTCTAGAAAAACTTTTGGATTGATTAGTTTTGATCCCCAGAGTATTTTCGTAGTGGTTGTCCAATAATTTTTCATTTTTTCGAAAGAAAGGAAAATTTTACTCTAAAAGTAAATATACCAAATGTCGATTCACGTCACTTGCCACTAATTCACAATATTCTTCACTTGTTAACGATTATAACAGTTATTATTATTAAAGTTCGCGTTAAGTGGAGGTACATATTGATTTATATTGTCTCTAGTAGAATTTAATAAAGTTTTAAGATTTTATTAGCAGCACTTATCACCTTGATTGCAGCAGGCTTTATTAATTTTATTATTAATCCTATTGATTGATGATATAATATTAATAGGCTTGAATTTGATTGGAATTAATTATACGTTTACTGCTAATTCGCGGTAAGCGTACATGTATAAGCTCGAGTTATGGTTACCAATCATTGACTGTTTCGAACCGCTATTAAACTTGCAGGTATTAATCTTGTTGGCGACCACGAGTAATTAATTGTCCAGAAAATGTTGACCATACTATTTGACCATAATCGCTAATCATATTAAACCTATACTACTAATAATCTTGAATCTTTATTTCTTATTATTTATTGTTTATTACTCATTCATTATTTATCGTTGATTATACACTCATCAATAAATTTATAAGTAATTTATAAGTAATTTATAACTATTTCTTAGTTTACATGGTGAACACTGATGATTTAAAGCCAAATGATTTCAATGGCGCACTATTTCTCGCCAGTTGTTAAATATGTATTTCAGTTTTTCTATTTTATGGTACGTTTCATTCTGTGATGTTTGTTTACAATTCTTGGCCGCTATTTTCACACTTTTTTTTTTAAACTTTTTATTACGATCGACGATCTGTGGCGCGGCCTTGCTCGCTCCGACGGGAGGCGTAAAATCAACAAGCGGTATCGGAGCGCTCTCGCGGCGCACTGAAGTGCGTCTAGCCAGGAGAAGAGAATCGGCAGCGTCGCGGCGCGTTGCGTCGCCTCGCGTCGCGCCGCTACAGAACGCGAGTGCAACGAGAGTGACCCTGGCAGTGAGTGCCGCCTGCGCACTCTCGTTGTATTATGTCCTCTCCTCTCAGATCCTTTCCCTCTCGATCTTCGGCTTCCACCGTGCCTCTTTCACCCTTTCGGGATTGTACGATTTAACTCCGACTTGGCTTTCAAGAGCCATCCCCATTTTCTCATCACGTACACTTCTTTCTTTCTCACATCTGTGCGTCCGCACGTTCGCCAGCCCGTTCATCTGGCTCGTTCCTTGCGCCATTCATACGCAGCACTAGGAGTTCCCAAACCGGCTGTCGCAATACGCTATAGTCTAAACTTGAAGAACGTAAACAGAAACTATATTCTCTGCCGTTCGTATATCTGCGTCTGAATTTGAGCTATGTATCATTATTCATTTTAATTCTTTGCGCGCACAAAAATCAAGTGAGACGTTGATGTAAAAAGGATGGTACGAATCAGATGGGATTTTGATTGAGATGAGAGATTAGATTCTGATGAGATTATATTTTAATCACATTCAATCAGCAGAAAGATTTGATACCTTTTTGATACAATTTCTGAAGTGATAACGATTGTTGTATCTTATTAAACATTTTTTTATTTTTATTTTCTTACAACGTTTCGAATTTGATCTTATTTACTTGATTTTATGTTTTCTCGTTTAATTCTAGCACCTACACAAAAAGTATAGATGACTTTGCTGAAATATTTTAAAATTTAGATACAGATCTGAAAATAATTGTATACGTATTATTATAGATTAGTAAGATTAATTATATAGAATTATAAACTCAAGTATGATGAGCAATGTTGAAAAAAATGTTGATATTTTACAGTGAAGTATCTTACTTAATAATTATCTTGATAGTTCAACAAAGTTTTTTCTAAATATGTATCTAGCTAAATTTTTAGATATTTCAGCAAAACCGTTTTTTTCGTAACATTAATATATGCGCCCTATCTCTTTCTTTTTCTTTTTACTTCTTTTTCTATCTATCTCTATATCTTTTAGATTTTCTTTAGGTTACTTTGCATTTGCATGTCACGCGATGTGCAGAGCGAAGAAAATTATTTAGCGAGAAACAAACAAAAAATCTTATCACTTTTCTTGTTCTTTAAATCTTTATTCTATCTCAAATTTAATCTCCTTGAAACGGAAGAAGACATAAAAAATATCATTTTTCTTGGGCGACTTGAAACAAAAAAAATTTCTTATCCGTACTTAAAATTAAATAACCGTAAAATAACAGCGCTTTAAGAATTGAATATACTTCCTTCATGTTTAAGTCTGAGTTGACATCGACAATCCACGGGCCTGACCTCTACCATTCGCGTGGATTTAACCTCGTGGTGGTCTCTTCGCTTTATTTTATGTCAGATTGTGCGTGGAAAAGTTAGTTTGTTCATAATTGTTCATAATATGAATTCGGAATTTTTTGTAAAGTAAATATTTGGTTCGGAAACTAGGCCGTGAGATTTTTGATTACTCAAACAGTTGCACGGTTTATATTTTATAATATTTACATTGCATCGTTTACCATTAATATTGAGCATGAATTATGTAATTATAATATTCTATAATAGTAATTTGTTTATTTAACTTAATTATAAAGTTATTAGTTTTTGAAGAATTAATTAGTTGTTAATATAAATTCGTGTGAGAACAAGAAAAATATATTTACATACATATTCATTTTATTATTTGTATAATCTTAAAAAGCGAATATTTAAAAAAAAGTAACAGTTATAAGAAGCTTAAAATATTTTAATACGCAAAAAATTCTGCAGTGAATAAAAGTTGTAAAACCGTTTATTCACATACATACGATATTTTTTAAAATGTTTCCATCGCTATTTTTAACTTGTGCCCTTTGCCCTAAAGCGATACTATTTTTTACTTGAATTTTTATTTTCCATCTTTTTCTCTTTTTGGTATTACGTGCTCCCGTATTTTTGCTCGGCATTTTTTTGGCGTTATGCACTCGTATTTTTGGTTGCATGTATTTCCACTTATGAGAGTTTATTATACGAGCTCCAAGATACATCTCGTATCAACATATTCTTACTAAAATATTTAGTATTCATTCTTTATATTATCTCATTTTTTACACTATTTTACACTCGATTTTACAGTATCAGGCTGCTTGCTCTGATGAAATAAACTGCAATGTTCATGAAAATGTTCACAAAACGTTGACATTCTAATGATGCGTCAAGATACAGAAATAACTCGCGAAACACATAGCTTCAGTATTCAATCTTTTTTGTACTAGTTGTGTCATTTCGGTTCCTTGAAATTAGTATTTTTTAATAGTATAAATCAAATAGATCTTACAGGCCCGATAACTGTGTTGACGTCAACTCCGGAAGGTTAATAGCCTTTAATATTTTATTTTTATTATTGTTTAAGCAAAAAATAATGCAATAGAATTGCACTAAACATAGTTTGTTCTTACAATTTTATCGAAATTTTTACAATAGATAATTTTACAAGTTATATCTTTATGCATTATTTGATTCAAACCGACAACATAATGATTTAAATCTCTCTCTGAATACGTACGATTTTACTTATTCTAATGGAATTTGACTTAGAATAATGAATAGATTTTTCTTTTCTCTTTTTTTAAAATATTCATTAATATGATAAATAATCTTTCTGAGGATACGAAATAATATTACGAGATAATTATCTTTATACGATGTAGTATCATTTGCGGATATATCAGCGCATAAATCAAAATTAAGTCCGAATATTGGGCCAGGAAAGCCGTCACGATCTCTGTAGTTAATTCTAACTGATTTATCGCGGGGTGTATCCTTTGAGTGATCGCGATAAACCTCAGTACGGATTATGCTCGATAAGCTGTTGATCGTTTGATTATAAGCCTCGTCCCATTCGATTGCTCATGAATTGTTTTACGACGCCATGTAAGGATGAGAAAAATATAAGAATGAAAAATATACGAATATACTTATCTTTCGAAAGTAACATATGATATACAGGGTGTTTCTAAAATAGCGCTAAACGCTTACTAATCATACAGTGCTATTTTTAATAAAAAACTGAGTCGAAAAGTTCTGTACCATCTTGCAATTTTCGCAATAGTTAACGAGATATTAATTTCTAAACATTGTCGAATAAACTGCAGATAAAATCGATGTATAAGACAATTTTAAGATATTTTTCAGTACTCTTTATTTTGAAGATTTTCTTAAAGCATTCTTAAAGATACCTTCAAGTTTTCTTACACGTTGATGTTGCTCATTGGGTAACTAAAAAAAAATATTGCGAAAATTGCAAAATAGTAGAGGACTTTTCAACTCAGTTTTTTATTAAGGAATAGTACTATATGAATAGTGGGCGTTATTTTAAAAACATCCTGTATACCTGTCGATTTTATATATTTTGTTTTTTATATTTGAAATTAGCCTTGTCGTAATATCGATTCAGTGCGGAACTACGTTTTAGCGGAGAGCAGATAGTGATGTAGCGCTGTCACTCATGATTATAGATTAGTATAGTATATCGATATACGATTCAATGGAAAACACGATTCTTTGGCATCGT